AACTATGTGCTAGAGTAAACTTACTTTAGTAAATGTAACTATGGTCAGAATCTTAAGTCCCTCCTCCAATTACTTCTTGTCTTGGTCTTCCTCTCTTTCTCTTTCCTTGTGAGCTCCATCTTTAGGCTTTGTTGGTAATGTTTGTTTTTAGTTCTCTCAAGGTGTATTGAATCCACTTACGTTTTCTTGGTCTCATTTCTTAATCTATTTTTGTTGCGTTGTTTGCTCCTGTAGTGGTTTATTTCTTTTAGTATCTGGCCAATGGATTTTTTAAGTGCAGCTGTTGATTTATACCTGTAGCTTTTTAGAAGTTTTTGTTTTATTAAACGTTTCCGTGTTTCTGATCAAAAGGGTGGTAATCTTGCTTCAGGCCCTAAATGACCATTATTGTGTCGATGTGCTTTTCTGTACTCAAACTCTAACTTTGTATGTGGGTGGTTGGCGGGTGCTCTGGTGTGGTTTGATCCTTTTTCCCTATCAAACATCTAACGTCCTTATCTCTCTTCGTCCTTTTTTGTGTATGTTGCTCTCTTGTAGCAGCTCTAATCTACTGCACTTGTATGACTTAATTGTGTTGGAAGTGCAGTAAAACTTTTACTTAAACCAAACAAAACCGAACAAATTCTCCTTTCCACAGCTGTGGTGTTTGACAACATCGGGCCGAGCGACGTGTCCCTCCCTTCCACCATCAAATATCGCATCCGCATGGACATAGACAAAGTGGACAGTACCAAGAAAATAGAGAACAAGTGAGTGTTGTTTTTTTAGTTTAACTCACTGAAGCAATAGAAAAATCTTTTCACCAGCATCTGTAGTGTAGCGGTTAGGAGCTTCACTGTCATAAACATGAGACCGGAGTTCAATTCCAAAGTGAGGGGAAACTTTTTACTGAGTATCTCGTTTTTTTTTTTCTACTGGGATTTTGTACCACTCTCAACCCAGGTTGGCCCTAACATGCAGGGTCAGAAGCCCACGTCCTAAATGACCTCATTGAAAATTCGCTGCTTTAAAAAAAAAAAAGTATGAATATATGAATAAAATGCATCATTATTCGTTAAGACTGTCAACTGTGTTTTCTTTGTCTGAAACATGTAAAGGCTGGCGACAATGCGCATACTGACACCAGGTGACCCTCACCTCTGATCTATTCTTATCTTATCTTACAGATATTTATCTTATCTTACAGATATTTATCTTATCTTACAGATATTTCTTATCTTATCTTCCAGATATTTCTTATCTTATCTTCCAGATATTTCTTATCTTATCTTCCAGATATTTCTTATCTTATCTTCCAGATATTTCTTATAAAAACTTCTGGTTCATCTTCCTGCAGGA